CTTCGTGATCAATTTCCTGACTCCTGCCTTGAGTTATAGAGAAAACGAGGCAATAGCAGCTCTAGAAAATTGTGGCGTTGCATGTGACTGAGGTATGATGCAACAGAATGAGCAAGAGTAGCCTAGAGGGAATTTGAGGTGAAGGGTCGGCCAAGAACCCTAAGATCAACAGATAAGCCACTACGCTCTGACTTGAACCAATAATTTCAAAGTTTGATGTTCAACCAATCATATAGCAGACTAGAACGATGCTCGTTACATCAATATGCACCGAAGGCCATCTTTAAGTGACAGCGCACACTGACTAGCTTGGCTTGTTAAAAATGTATCATTTTAGTGTCCTCCATAGGGTTTTTTCTCAAGTAGGTGCAAAATTCTCACTTTCACAATTTGGATAAAATATATATATTGGTCAAAATAAGCCAATTTTCCAGAATTTGTGTTATTTTCAAATGGGTCCAAATGGATTTTCAGGTCTCAAGAGGGTGCTGCACCCTCTTGCTTTAATGCTGGGGAGATCACTGCATTTATATATATAAAGAGTATGGGATAAAATTATTCTTGCCCAGGGTTAGTTGCCCCTGGATTTAACATCTCCTGATGTCCTTGATCAGTTGTCAAGTTTCCAACTAAGTCCCTGGTTTGAAGTATATCCTCAAAGTTTAAACATTCTTCAAGTGGGCATAATAATAAATTACTAAGTGATTTAGTAAAGTAAGTTTAGGTAAATCATAGAAAGTGGAACCTGTTACTTTAGAACTAGCATAATCACTGAGATATGTACTGTATAAGTGGTAGCTAATCCGAGTGGTTAATTTGCTGAATGGTCAAATTTTATCATTTTCCCAATTTCAATTTTCCATAATAAGATAATATTTCCAACATTTAATTTTCCGAACCTGGCAAAAATGAGGAAACATAATTGGGCAAAATTACCAGTTAGTATTAATTGATTCTGGCCTGTGCCTAAACTTTCTCTTTGGTAACTTATTTTTTTCTCAAAACACAAATGAAGTTATCCTTATTTTCTGGCATCCTTCAATTCATGATTATTTTTAAATCTACATAAATATCAAAATGAAAGTAAAAAATCTCAAATTCATAAAATGTCATATTCTCCTAAAGAAATATGATACCAATTTTACAGTGACTATATTTCATCTCTAAGTATTTGTATTATTAAAATATCATAAATAAATGTTTTCTATGTTTTGAAATAGACATGTTCATCATATATTGTTGGGTCTAAAGTTAGGTACAGATCATTTATAGTGGTGACATATAGTTATAGTCTCCAATTTTTTTTAGATGGTACATATTAATGTGACGTTTTTCTCACGTTGTAATTGTTTTGACGTCACTCTATAATTTTTTATTTAACTTCACTAATTTTTCTAATTTGTTCACTGATGAAATTGACATGATGCAATTGTAGAACTTGTTAATGACGCAAGGAGCCAAGTTTAGTATCATCTTGAAAAAAAAGCTGTCTGTCAACCTACACAGAATTAAGCTATATGGCAATTGTCCAAAAAATCTTGAATTTTTTCCTCTAATCTCAAGAGTTATATCAATTTTTATCTATGAGATTTTGTACATATGCATCATTCTCTCAAATTGTATTTCTATGATCGCAGACTGATTAGATCATTTTTTAAATGTGGTTCACGAGGCATGGTATTATTTTTCAAATGTTGCCCATGACGCCATTTCCTACTTACTTTCATTTGACCAGACTTACTTGAATCTATTGAAGAATTGCATATTGTAGGAGTTGATGCACATGTCTAACACTAATTGCATTTCATCCACCTTAAACATCAAGCTATTAAGGTGGCTAACCCCAAAATTACAATCTCTGAAAAATTCTACAATCTCTTGACAGCTCTGAAATGGCCCTTACATCAGGAGTCAAATAAACACAGGCACCTGACTAACAACTCCACTTTCCTCAGGTGAGACCAATTTGCAAGGAAAATATTGTTGTGGTCAAGAAAATAAAGTAAATAAAAAGAGGGGAATTTCCAAGGAGCAAAGTAAACAAGCAAGTAATTAATATTGCATCGATATGCCAGAAAATATTTTTTTAATCTTCATGAGATTAGGGCATGGAACATGCTAGACCACTCTACTGACTTCTGTATAAATTACCCTTTCCAGTGATCTCCCCAGCATTAAAGCAAGTGGGGGCAGCACCTACCTGAAAATCCATTTGCACCTACTTGAAAATGAGAAAATTCATGAAAAATAGGCATATTTTGACCAATTTTGGTCTGATTTGTATAAATGAGAATTTTGCACCCACTCGAGAAAAAATCCTTTGGAGATCACTGCTCTCTGTAGTGAACTACCAATTATGATTGTTTTTTTTTCTCAGTAAAAAATGTTCAATATAACAGTTTTTACATGCATGACTGTATAATATTAGGTACATGAAGATCACCCAGGTATATGGAAAAATACGTCAACAATTGAACTTGTTTACAGTACTTTCATAGTACTCAACAGTTTGAGTGCCAATCTACTACTGTAAACAGGGATTATTTAGTGACTTTGGCAGCTTAGGGTAAAGTGACAATCCAAATATGATTTGTTAGCCTTTGGAGAATGGGGGCTTGTAATGAACACTGAAATCCTTAATTTAAATAATTATATGTTTACTGCCGATTGCAACCAAGGTCAGTATGAACATTCCACCAATATCATTTGTACCATGATTTATCAACCTTTTAATCAAAATAGAATCAACTGGCTTTTTTGATATTTTTACTTTACAGATTTGATAGCATTTTTGTCAACTAAAAGCACTAAAAGGTCAAGGTCAACAAAATAACTTGTCTCAAGGTCAAAAATTGTCTATGTTAGGATCAATTGCCGTACCACTTTCAGTAAGTGTTAATCTCTTTTCAAAATCATCTGAATTACAATTTACTTTAAATAAAGTGATCTGATATAATTGAGAAACCCTTCAAATTCTTAGCCACAATCAGACATTCAACCTCAAGCCACAACAACATGGTTATTAACAACATGTAAAATAGAATTCACTCAAAAGAAAAATCCAGGTCGTGTTTTAAAATGGAATAAAAAATAGAAAACAGAGGAATTAGCAAGGAATAAAGTAAACAGGCATGTAGAGAACACTTTAAATTGTATAGAAATGCAAGAAAATGAAACAGTTCATTCAAATTTTATTGAGAAAATGAGGGAAATTGGCATGAATAGAGAGGAGATTTTGACAGGGTTGTGTATTCAATGAAAAGTGTTTCACAATATTATTACAAGTACATCAACATATTTCTGGCTCGGCCTCAATGCTGAGAAATTAATGGAAATAAGTTGTCAAACAATAACAATATTAAAGTTTATTTTGGCATAATTCTGATATTGTTTGAAGAAATGAAATTAAGCATGAATATTATGTTTTGATGATCATGAAATTACCTCATGCCTGTTAACAGGTACTCTAATCCTCACCTTTAAGCAGTTAGGATTATATATAGAGAAAAACTTAATAATAATTCTTAATATAATATTTCAACAGGCTTTTTCCTACACTAAGACAAGCCGCAGACAGTTATTTGCAACATTTTTTCAAAAAATAATGGGTAGTTCATATAACAAGACACGTTGGTTGGCATTGGTTTTATATCTCAACAGCATCTCCTACAGTTGTCATTTTTAATTTTTCTCTTGGAGCCTGGAGCCGGACACATCCTCTAACTTCCCCCTATAAGCTTAAAGCTCGCTCTACGGCTTCACGCAAGGCACTTGGGAATATATCAGATTCAGATCCTTATATAATAAGTTCAATAGTAATCAGTATATTGAAAACACAAAATATCTATAATCTGATATTTCTCTTTAGTCTCTTTGGACAATTGGTGCTTGGTATAAAACCCATTTTCAATACCTAGTAAATAACCCTTTATTATCACATCTTCAAAAGTAATAATAAAGACATTAATAACTAGAGGTTGAAAATGAGTTTTGTTTTATACCAAGTACCAATATGACCTAAAGAACAAAGGGAAATATCAGATTAACTGAAGAATATTTCTTTCTATTATTACTTTAAGCAAATGATAATAGCTTGTTTGAAGGGAGGTATTCAAAATTGTAATAGAGTGTGAAAAATATTTATTCAATATCTACCTATGAACAGTATCACTCACAGTATCATAGGGAAATATCAAAGGATATTTTATGTCAGGCCAGACCAACCCCCCCCCCCCCCCCCCCCCTCCTAAGGTAGGCCCAGATTTTGAGGCCCCCAATTAGTGGGCCTTTTTGGGCATTACTGGGCCTTTTTAGGTTCATTTTCTATTTCTAAGCCAAATTATCAAGAAAATAGGCCTTAAATTTTCAAGATTTAGGCCCGATTTGGGGTTTTAGGGGCCCCTCCCCCTTGTTAGTTTTCATATTCGCCCCTGCAATCATGCTCCAACTAAATTTGAAGGTCATACTGACAACTAATTAGTTTCAAATAACATGTGAAAAACATTTCAAATATATTCAAAAGAACAGGTGTATGTTGGATTTGAAATATACTCTCATTGACAGTTCTCAGAAAGTTTTATCATAGTACAATAAAGCATGTCAATGTCTATCTGTTTTTAACTTGAGACTCTGAGAAATATTTTATCAATAATCAATCAAGACTCAATTTTAATTCACTTCAAGTCTTGAAAAGGACTTGACATTAAAAAATGTGACTCAATCAAATGTCAAAGCAACTTACGAGTAAATGCAACTCAAGTGTATTCAAAAATCACAAACAGCAAAATTGAGAAAACAATAAAATTCAACAAACAAGAGCCGATCAAGACCCAATCCAAAAAACAACATCTTTCTAAAGAACAGTAGGTTTATGTCAAGACTCAGAACCACCAAACTCCAAAAACATCTGAACATAAAAATGCTATATATGTGCATTATTATTGATAATTAAAGAAATCATCAATCTCCATTCGTGTCTAATAGAAAATAGATCCACCTACCTTTTTCGCATAGCGATATTCTACAGTTTGCGCCCGTTTTGTCATCGTATAAGACATCTTAGGAGTATGCCAGTTACACAGCCTTTTCATTAATAAACTTATACAATAGCCTCAAAGTTACAATATTCTCTAAATCTGCCTCAAACTCTAATAATGTCTGCGATAATGTGATGTGTTAAACGTTCCATCATTTCCTTGTTTTGCTTTTTTAAGAATCACATAGCATATTAAGTCTTCAAAAATGTGTAAATATACCCATACAGTAGGTATACTATTCCTCTTTCAAAATAAGTCTGCAGTGAACAGAGACTTCGAAGTATAAATACACGGAGCAGTATTCACATGTCACTTATATCATTAGCCTATTCTACAGTCACAGTCTACTCTCCAATAATGTTTATCTCAAGTCTCCGATATAGACTACACAAGTCCTCCACTCTAAAAGTTGATCAACCAATAATATCAATCACATATCAATTCAATATATTCAAGTGTTAATTAAAAATTATCAGATATAGAATATATAATAAATAATGTTTAACACTTCATCCCTGAAATCCTATTTCGTCCCATTTTGTCATACCTTTAAACATATACCTGTTTTTCAAGAACATGTTAGTATTTTGGCATTTCCGTGGTTTGAGTATCGCGCTTTTTCCTCACATGTTAAATTTTCTTTCAATTTTCTATAATATCATAAAATATGTGCATACCATCATTATCCACACAGGGTTTCTTCGTTTCTATATGCAAAAAAAGTAAACAAAAATAAGCCTTGCAGATAATGTGATTGTTACGAAAGATTATATTTGCTCACATGTTCCTTAACAAAAGACATGCCTTATTGTTTAAGTAGTACATGTGTATATTGATCTCATAGACAGTGATATGTAACTCCTTCATGATGAGCTAATCCTTCAAAAAGACAGAACAATGACTGATGATATGCTATAGCTTTAGAAGATAAAGTTATGTTACTCCTTCAGGAGACAGTGATATATTACTCTTCAGAAGATAGTGATATGTTACTCTTTTAGAAAATAGTGATATGTTACTCCTTCAGGAGACAGTGATACATTACTGCTTTAGGAAACAGTGAAAGATTACCCTTACATGAGACAGTGATATGTTACTCCTTTAAGAGACAGTGATATATTACTCCTTTAGGAGACAGTGATAAGCTACTCCTTTAGGAGACAGTGATATGTGACTCTTTCATGAGACAGTGATATGTTACTCCTTCAGGAGACAGTGATATGTTACTCCTTCAGGAGACAGTGATATGTTACTCCTTCAGGAGACAATGATATGTTACTCCTTCAGGAGACAGTGATATGTTACTCCTTCAGGAGACAGTGATATGTTACTCTTTTAGGAGATAATGATATGTTACTCTTTCGGCAGATAGTGATATATTACTCCTTTAAGAGACAGTGATATATTACTCTTTCATGAGACAGTGATATGTGACTCTTTCATGAGACAGTGATATGTTACTCTTTCATGAGACAGTGATATGTGACTCTTTCATGAGACAGTGATATGTTACTCTTTCATGAAACAGTGATATGTTACCCCTTTAGAAGGCATTCTGTGTTTCCATTAACATCAAGCCCTGAGCAATAAACAATCATTATACATTAAAATTTATTTACTGAATAAACATGGCAATGATTTTATTGTTATCTAAACTAAGCTAAGTAGTTTTTGTATATCATTGTTTACTTAATAATCCCAACTATTGAAAACTAAAAAAACAACATCTTCTATGACAATACAATAGAGTGTGTATGTGTAAACACTGGAGAATTAAGGATTCTGAACAATAATATATTTAGTTATACTTAATAACTTTGTTGAAACTAGCATAGGAAGCAACCTTACTGATACAGAATTGTTATTGCACTTCAAAATGTCATTTTTTATAATTCAAAACTAATAAACATGTAAGTGTACTTATTGTCAAAAAATGTATTTATTTTTCTAGTTTCCCACACTCTTATGATATGAGAAAGTTTCAGGAGATCTTTTAAACACTTCTGGACATTTCCTCTTACAAGAAAACAAATCGGGAAAATATCAATCTCCCAGGACTCCCAAGTATACATGAAGATAAGCTCGCAACTATCTTGTGTAGCTGAGAGTACCTCTAAAGGCCAAGATATTCAATATCTGGTTAGCATAATGCATTATTTAATATTATCTCTATTTCTGACTCTAAATCCCCCTTCCCCCTCCCCATCTAGATATATCTCTTTGACGTTGTCATATCTATTTCGCTTCACATTTCTGCTCACCTCATACATTAAGGGGGTATGGTTAATGTGTTTGGCTTTGCTGATATGGGGTGAAAATCATGGTTGGGAATTCTTCAATTCCAACGATATAAAGAATACAAAACTGACTAAGTTTAATCCTGTATTCTATATGATTCTACAGAGTGTCAAATAAATATGTTCTCCCCTTAATTTCAAGAGAAAATTTTATGCATATAAAGTACATCTAGTTGAGCTAGTCATCTGAAACTTCTTGTGGAGTTGCTCTGTGGGGCCTAGTTTGATGTGCTAAAGAACTAATAATGTACTAAAGAATTCAACATTATGTGGATGTTAAAACTAAGGAGGGGAGAACATATTTATTTGACACCCTGTATACATGATAAAATATATGATAAAATATGAGAATTTAAATATATTAGTATAACTATTGATCATTATAATGTTTTTAACCTCTTGGACAACTTGCAATCCTCAGTCCACTTCAAGACGTTTTTTACGTTCAATCACTTCAAGTTATTGTTTTGTTGTGTGGCACTGAAATTGTACTTAGCCACCTTCAAAATTTTATATCCGTGAACACAGTGGAACTATGTTCATAACTTCCAACAAAGTACTCAACATTCTGACATTTTTTTAATAATACAAGAAATAATTGTAAACATGTGTAAGTTTACCTTATTTTAACTTTTTTTGCATTCTGAAGTGACCACTCTATATTCAGTTGTAGGTTTTTTACTCAAAAAATCATTCCACTTTTTGTTCTCTATTTGCTTGTTGTAAATATTACCAAAAATTCACCAATGTAAATGCCACTTAAATGTTAATTTCCTTTAAAAATGAATTTTTTGAATTTTTTTTACTACTTCAAGATGCTTACTTTGAGGGCATTAAGTATAATTAAAATTACATTGGTCAAATTCATAAAGCATACTTATTATCGATATCATTAGCCACATATTTTCAATAATTAAAATAAAAAAATAACTCGAAGGTATTTTCACCGCTAAAATCTTGAGTTAAAATAGGTAAGAAAATAAAATAATAATATCCCACATTTTATGACACTATTATTAGTGAATAATTGTCAATCGCATTCAAATACTGTAAGATATTTGTTTTCAATTAATTCAAAGCATATTGTCATAATTGTATTCTAATTATGATTTATCGATCAACAAAGACATTTGAAGAAGTATATACAGTATATACGATTATACGTACAGGATTGACCAAAATGATTGACAGATTGTAATTGCCAAAAAATAATTAACGAATTTATTTAAGGTTTTTTACCTTACTTTAAGTTTCTCTAAGCTTCTTAAAAGAGTCAGTTTCATTGTGTAATAAGACCATAAAATGAGACAACTTATTTAAATCAAAGGTGTGGAAAAGTCATGACATTTCTGACATTTTTTAATGATTGATATGGATACTTTGGACATTCTGAGAGCAATTCCAGGTGTTTGACTTATTATTCAAGTTCACCGGCTACTGTAATATATCACCTGTAAAATAATGTGGTTAATACATGTCTGCAAGTGCCTGAATTTTTTCTCTAATCATGACTTTTGCATGTAATTTCTCCCTAAAATTTGAATGAACTGCCCAACTTTTTTGGATTTCTATACAATTTAGAGTGTTGACTACATGTTTATTTACTTTATTCCTTGCTGATTCCACTCTTTTCCACTCTATTCTACATTTTAAAACATAATTTTTTTGCATTTCTATACAATTTAGAGTGTTAACTACATGTTAATTTACTTTATTCCTTGCTGATTCCACTCTTTTCCACTCTATTCTACATTTTAAAACATAATTTTCTTGCATTTCTGTACAATTTAGAATGTTAACTACATGACTGTTTACTTTATTCCTTGCTGATTCCACCAAATTCTAATCTATTTTCAATTTCAAAACATGAACCAAACCCCCATCTTTTTTCATTCATTTAACCACAATGGGCAACAAACTTTAATTTTCAGTTTTACATTTGATAGATTTCTACTTAACTCATTGTGGATTTGACAAGGATGTAAAAATCATATTTAGATCATGCAAAATAAATTTTCGTCAATAAAGACATTATCATGCATTATAATTAATCGTCTCGTCTTATAACAAGCACATGAACTAAAAAAATGAAATGTGTTAACTGAATACACACATTTACAAAATGTAAGCCAATTTCTAATGAAGGCTAATTTATAAATGTTTAAATATTAACTGTTTTCTAATTGTTTGTCCCGATTTCTGATGTATATCGATATCATTCACGTTTTCCAACATTTATTTCTCATTATATCAAGCAGATCAGACTTAAACCAACGTGAGTTTTCAGTTCAGTTTTACTGAATATTTGGGCGTTTCCATAGTGATGGTCATATAAGATATATACCAACACCCAATCCCCCTATTCTCTCCAACATAAATTACATCTGAACATCTAACAATTTCAAATTATTTCAATTGCATATTGATATAAAAATGAAGACATGCAGAAAAGTTCATTAACATTCAAGTGAAATGGGGGAGTGAGGACAGACTTATATATATATATGTTCACTGCACACACGTTTTAGTGTGATGAAATGAAAGTAAAATGTAGAAAATGATTTCCAGTAGGCCAGGTTATTAAACCCTTTCTGAACGATAGGGAGCCCTGTTATGTAATACATTTTAGGGCGATAGGCTCCTTTTGGCACCATTATTTTTATTAATATACATCAATGAAATGACAATATCTCCAGTTCTATTCAGTATTTTTAAACCAAATTTTGACAAGTTGTTCTAATGTGATAATCCTTACTAAAAATTGTATTTCAGTGATAAAATTCAAGGTATAGGTCATGGGGTGGAGGTAATTTGCAGTTTCCCTAAAAATCACTCTTACTTATCTGTTACCACGCCAACATTTTCCTCTTATATTTACGTCAGGAATGGGTTAACCCAATTCAATGACTACGTGATTTAAAGCATGAAAAATAAATCTGCCAATCCTATCAGCAATTTTAATTGAACTTAAAAATCCATAAAAATAAAATAAGACTAAAATATTTAAACATTGTATATGACATTGAAATATTCAAGGTAACGTTTTACAGAGGATAAATTGATATATAATTACCGCCAAGTATTTTTCTCATTGTTCGTGAAATGTTTGTTCGGTTTAAATAAGATTTTCATTGCCTGGTTTTTTTAATTTACTGCCATAATTACATGGTATTCTCCTTGAAAAGTTATTAAATTGAAATTGAGTTTATCTCCCAAGTTGCGAATCAACATACTGTGTTGATATCACCCTCCCTCACTCCCCCCCCTCTATCCTCATGTACTTTTAAATGAGATTGAAAATGTTTTATGATTTAATCATATTAAAAATTGACATTTCTTTAAGATAACACTTAAACATATACATTTATCTAAAACTTTGAAATATTAGCCGAAAAGGGAAGCATGGTTGCTTATGTTGAAGTTTTCATGTTTATAACACAGAGTTGCATACCTGTACCATTCTCTTAAGAGCCCATGCTCTCCTTTATGACTTTTCACTAACACAAGTTGGGGAAATCATAAGTCGGGGAGGGATCAAAAACAACATATTGTGGACACTTTAAAACAATCTAATTCACTTTTCCAATTGAAATGATTAATACGCCAAGACCACAATTATAAAATATAGATGTCCACTCTTATATCTATCATACAACAGTAAGATAAAAGAAGCTTGGAATCTCAATGTCAGGTTTTTTTCTTTCATCCATCATCTTTTATGAACACCTCATAAAAGGTTGCTGACCACTGCCAGCGAAACAATGCAATATTAGTCCAACGCACAGCTACAGAAAACATCTCCAATAAAATGGAAGCTCAATTCATTCATATGGTCAAAATACATATATGGACATACTTTTATGTACCTGCGTGCTAAACTGATTCTATCAATCATATTTTTAATTTTGTAATTGAATTAATCTGTGAACCAAGCAGACTGAACAGATTATTTATAAAAAAATAATTTAAAGAAATTGAATTATTGTTTACTTATTACCCTGGGACAGTAAATTAAAAAGAATGTCCTTATATGAAATGACACTTTATTTGACCTAATTATCTTTATTTTGACCTAATTCACATGGTTTCCTAAAAACAAGCTCATTTTCCACTTTAAAAATTCTCCTTAAAACTCCAAATAAAGACTTATTCATTAATCCAATTTTCATGCTATCTACTGTTTTTTTCATTTTTTAGAAGTCAATGTGAACAAATGACGTTTTATGATCAGGTATGATCGAAGTCTTATATAAACTGATCATTCCCAATTAAACTTAATTTAGATCCGATATAGAGTAGGAACCAGGAACTTGAAAAGGTAGGGTATAATATTACATTTAAAATATTGAAAATATAAACTTAGATAAAAAATAGATTGTTATTACAATTTATATCATTATCATTTTATTTTTTTTATTTTTTTTTTATTTTTTTTCATGCATTTAATGTGTAAATACAACTCGCATTACAGACATGTCTCTCCAGGCAAACTCATATGATTCAGTAACCAAAATGAAAACTTATAATTGCTCATAATCTTCAGTTATACAAATATATGTAATATTTTCTTTGATTTCATTTGTTAGCTGCACTATGATGACAAGTATTCTATCTTATATATGCATGAACATTCCAAAGAAGTTATATTTCACAAACTAACAATATAAATGATAATAATTATTTTATGTTTAAAGTACAATTGGATACTTTATCATGTTCATTCTAGTAAGAAATCTAATTTTTACCCAATATACAACTAATTATCAATGATTTTGCTGAAAATTGGAATTAACCACAAATTAAATCAATCAAAATTATGGCTCAATATTATCAGTAGCAGATTACTGTAAATTACTTGGAGGAAAAATGATTCATGAATATTAGAGGAGGGGAAAATATCCCAGAATTCATAAATAAACCATGTAAAGATTTACAGAAGATTTTCAGCAGAATCAGTTAGAATTAGTTGTATGTTGGGTGAAAATAAGACAATATTTTTATGCAATGTTCATCTAATATTAAACATGCTGAAAATTGGTTAACAGTTAGGTGTAAGATAAACTAATTTTCAGCAATAATTTATGTTTAATTTCCAGCACTAAGACATTATTTCTATATTTACCAGGACGCACAATGAGATACTTTACCATAGTCTTACTGGTTGTTGTGGTGACCTGTGTGTTACTTGAAACTGAAGCTCGTAAGAGAAAAAAAGACCACGACCCATCGGTAACCAAAGCAGAAAAAACACCAGAGGAAATAGCAGCTCGAAAGCTCAAAAGACAAAAGCAAAAATCTGCAAAGGTAAAGAAAACACCCGAGGAGATTGCCGCCCGTAAACTCAAGAAACAAAAGCAAAAATCTAAAAAAGTGAAGAAAACGTCAGAGGAAATCGCTGCACGCAAACTCAAAAACAAACTAAAGAAGAAAGAATTAAAACCAAAGAAAACCTTGGAAGAGATCGAAGCCTGCCAGTATAAGTGCGATGATGAGATTGGGGAACTGTGCACATACTTCCACCCGAAACATGAATCCCAAAAGGCCTGCATTGATGAACATGCTGTGTGTTGGTACGCATGCGAAGAGAACTGAGCTAGAATGGTGAAGGGGACAACCCTTGAAGTTTAGTCAGATGTCAACACTACTTAATAGATTAATAAATACCTTCTCTGATGGACTGATAATTATAGTCTATAGTTTACATATCTCTGATGATTTATGGTAATAATGACCATAACCATGATTGCTATACCTCAAGACCATGATTGCCATATCTCAAGACCATGATTACCAATACTTAATACCATGATTACCATTACTCAATACCATGATTACCATACCTCAATGCCATGATTACCATATCTCAAGACCATGATTACCATATCTCAAGACCATGATTACCATACCTCAATGCCATGATTACCATTACTCAATGCCATGATTACCATAACTCAATACCATGATTACCATTACTCAATACCATGATTGCCGTACCTCAAGACATATGATAACCATACCTCAATGCCACGATTACCATTACTCAATACCATGATTACCATACCTCAATGCCATGACTACCATTTCTCAAGACAATGATTACCATATCTCAAGATCATGATTACCATACCTCAATGCCATGATTACCATTACTCAATGCCATGATTACCATAACTCAATACCATGATTACCATTACTCAATACCATGATTGCCGTACCTCAAGACATATGATAACCATACCTCAAGACCATGATTACCATATCCCAAGACTATGATAACCATACCTCAAGACCATGATTACCATATCCCAAGACTATGATAACCATACCTCAAGACCATGATTGCCATATCCCAAGACTATGATAACTATACCTCAAGACCATGGTTACCATATCCCAAGACTATGATATCCATACCCCAAGACCATGATTACCATATCCCAAGACTATGATAACCATACCTCAAGATCATGATTATCATATCCCAAGACTATAATAACCATACCTCAAGAACATGATTACCATATCCCAAGACTATGATAACCATACCTCAAGACCATGATTACCATATCCCAAGACTATGATAACCATACCTCAAGACCATGATTGCCATATCCCAAGACTATGATAACTATACCTCAAGACCATGGTTACCATATCCCAAGACTATGATAACCATACCCCAAGACCATGATTACCATATCCCAAGACTATGATAACCATACCTCAAGATCATGATTATCATATCCCAAGACTATGATAACCATACCTCAAGAACATGATTACCATATCCCAAGACTATGATAACCATACCTCAAGACCATGATTACCATATCCCAAGACTATGATAACCATACCTCAAGACCATGATTGCCATATCCCAAGACTATGATAACTATACCTCAAGACCATGGTTACCATATCCCAAGACTATGATAACCATACCCCAAGACCATGATTACCATATCCCAAGACTATGATAACCATACCTCAAGATCATGATTATCATATCCCAAGACTATGATAACCATACCTCAAGAACATGATTACCATATCCCAAGACTATGATAACCATACCTCAAGACCATGATTACCATATCCCAAGACTATGATTACCATACCTCAAGACCATGATTACCATATCCCAAGACTATGATAACCATACCTCAAGACCATGATTGCCATATCCCAAGACAATGATAACCATACCTCAAGACCATGGTTATCATATCCCAAGACTATGATAACCATACCTCAAGACCATGATTACCATATCCCAAGACTATGATAACCATACCTCAAGACCATGATTACCATATCCAAAGACTATGATAACCATACCTCAAGACCATGATTACCATATCCCAAGACTATGATTACCATACCTCAAGACCATGATTACCATATCCCAAGACTATGATAACCATACCTCAAGACCATGATTGCCATATCCCAAGACAATGATAACCATACCTCAAGACCATGGTTATCATATCCCAAGACTATGATAACCATACCTCAAGACCATGATTACCATATCCCAAGACTATGATAACCATACCTCAAGACCATGATTACCATATCCAAAGACTATGATAACCATACCTCAAGACCATGATTACCATATCCCGAGACTATGATAACCATACCTCAAGACCATGATTATCATGCATCAGTATGTTTTCCTTATATTCTGGCCTTGTATCTCCTCCATAAAAGGTTACCCCAAAAGACAAAATCAAATGGTTCTCCCTCATATCTCCAAGGTAAAACACAAGGAGGCCTAGTAACCAAAACTCCTTCCCGATCTTTATTTCACTGGAATAGACCAATTTGGTACTACTATTACCAAAATGTTCATCTCCTGATTAAATATTTGGTCTGGAGATGAACATTACAGAAATATTATTACCGAATTGTTCTAAGCCAGTCAAAAGAAGATCATGAAAGAATGCTGGGAAGCAATCCTCTTCGGTAAACCACATGAGTAAAATCCAGGAGTTCTTATTGCTATCATGAGTCCATCATTTTACAGATTTAAAAGCTCAGAAAAACACATTAATATCAAACATGTTGATGATGTTAAAATGAATAATGGCAACGGTACAGTATCATTAAGTCCTGGTCAAGCCAGGTTAAAAAGAGGATATACCAAAAATTAAAATAATCTGAATGGTCTGGTGTTTAAAACTTATATACCAATGGAAAGAGAGGACTCAGCAAGGAATGAGGTTAATGACTGTGTAGATTATGCTCTAAATTGTATATTAATGCAAGAAAGTCAGGTTGTTCATTCATTTTAGAGAGAAATTATATGAAATAAGCATGACATGAGACATTTTTTGCATGGATTGTTCGTTATAAGATAAAGTTATATTTGATAAGACGATTAATGGTTCGGTTATTTTCTTTTAGCCCTTATATTACAAACAGAAATACAAATTATGATGTATAACTAAAACAAGGCATTTACATGCAAAATATCACCACCTGCCATTTGTTACAAATGTTAAATGCTAACCACCAAACACCAACTGCCAAGCACCATCCACAAAAAGTAAGAGGCTATAAGAATATGTCAACACATACTGTGACATAAAAAAAATCAAAAGGTTATTCAAAAGAAACACATATAATATACTCTTATACCTGTTGAAATTGTTAAAAATGATAAACTTTGCCCTTGTAGAAATCTGGGTAAGGGACAAACCTCTAAGATGCTAGGAAAAACAGACATTTGTACCCTTAATTGACTCAAGATAAAACTGAAACTTGGTTCATGTAGATAAAAACACTTATCCAACTGATCCAATACTTTTACTCTGAAATTAAACTCCCAAATGAAAATACATTATTTTGGTAAAATACTAGGTCTCCAAAAACTGACATTTTGGCCCACCCTGTATATTTCAAATACACCAATGATGCAATGACACACCCATTCAAAACAATAATATTTACTTAAATACCCATTAGGCTCCTCACCGTTGTAGTAAACACAACCATATGATACAACATTTTTTACTCCCATAATATCCTCCCTAGGATTCAGGCCAATATGTCACACTGGTCAAAACCTCACTGACCCGAGATAACCATTCAGAAATAAACCACACTCTGTTAGTCCATGTGTGCAACAGAGTTGGTCGGTTTAGGCGAGAATGTGATGCTAAAGATACATGTAGCCACATCTAGGATATTCCATTTTATCCTATGCCAAGTAGAGTTTAAGGGTGATAAGTTGGTAAGATATATCCTGTATCCTGATTTTGAGGTTTCCATATCCTGAACCTCCATATCTCCCGCTCCAGGGCATATCTTCCCCCTAAGAAAAAAAAATTGAAAAAAGTGAAAAAATTTGAAAAAAATAAAAAATTGAAAAAGAAAAAAAAATTGAAAAAATTGAAAAAAATTAGAAAAATGTGAAAAAATTGAAAGAAAATTAGAAAACTCTACTTGGTATAGGATAAAGCAGTTATGTACGGTCGGATTGGATATTGGGTTCATCCCTCCCTTCGGTCCCTACGGTCCCTACGGTCCCTCAGGTAGATATGCATATCTCCCTCTGGATAAACCCCATATCCAAAACCTCCCAGTACATAACCCTTATGTCTCCTGCCTGAAGGAACAACTTGATGACTCCTCCCTTCCACAATTATGCCCCCCCCCCAAAGCCCAGTGCCTCCCTTTCATTCATTTTATCCTTTATTTCTAATCAAGTCTACAAATTGTTAGTACGCAATGAATGCACGCAAAAATGAAGAAAATCGAGGGAGATATTATGAGTATATTTATCAGGGTACTTTTGTACAAAACTCTCTGATTTAAATGATGATAATTTATCAAAATATTTCCATTTTGACCATAAGAAAATCCAATTGATTTTTTGATCATCAGAGACATCTTTAAATAAGATGATCATTATTTTGATCATAAGACTACTTCAAGAACAGAAAGTTAGTAGAAAATTATATGAAGTTCTTTCATTTGGTAAATGTATTGGTGTCATCCCCCCTTCAATCTTATAATGCATAAATTGAGATAATATTCCAAATACGATTTTGTACGAGTCTGACAGTCTTCTATGATTTTCCAACAAAATTCTGAAAAATAATACACTCATCCTATCGATCTTCAATTTTCCATTAAATGGACATTAACTGGCCAAAAGTCTAATAGTTGAATAACATAGACTGCGACTGCAATAAAACATATCATGTTTTGCAATAGTCTAGCTATACACGCAATTATCATAAAATGTTTCAGACGTAAGCACAAACCTGCGTCATCTGCCTTGATTGATGTTAACTGTATTTATTAGTGTACCTTTGCTGGGTTAATGTGACATTTTAACTGTATTGTTACAGTATTATATTCTATTATATTCACATTAAGTTTAGTTTATCAATATGCATATACTGTAACTGATCTTCATTAGAGATCTTAGGTCAAGTCAAGGTCACAATGACATTATATCTTGTAAACATAACTGAACTGAATGACTCATTAACTCTTGGCCTTCCAGAAAGTACTGGAACTGTAATCATTTAATCAAGATTGAATCATGTGACTTAAGATGTCCAATCAGTGTTATTTTCTAGAAATCGTAACTTCTTGAAACATCTGGACTATGCCTTTGCACTATATAATGAGAGAGCTGATTTGGGCTGTCA